TGTTATTCTGCTCATCATCAGATCAAACCTCAGATCTAAAACTTTACTGCTCAGTTTTAGGTCAAACATGATCACTTTGAGTAGTTTTCATGTTCTTCCTGCAGTGTCTGTCCAACAGTCACTGTTTAGTCCAAATGATCAAATTATTTGATCATTTCAAGTTTTAAACTGTAGAAATTATTATTATTATTATTATTATTGAAGTTCTCAAACAGAACAGATATCAGATTTTAAAGTCTGAATGTGAACTGAGTTTACTAATCTTTAAAAAGATTCTCATGACTGTCAGAAGAATCATTAAACTCGTCCTGTTGGATCTTGGAGCACTTTCTGGTTAATCTTAAGAGACACCCCAACCCCCCCCCCCACCCGCTGCCCTGGGGTCAAAGTGACTCCTCGGGCCTCAAAACTTCTTCCTCTGATCTGAACTCAGCTTGGCGTTTTCCCTCTGTGCGATCCGTTCAGGTGATAGATGCCATCTCTGCAGCCATCTCTCAGACCCCTGGCTGCAGCCTGCTGGACGTTGACCCCGGGGCCTCCACCAACCGCACCGTCTACACCTTTGTGGGGCCCCCGGAGGCGGTGGTGGAGGGGGCTCTGAGCGCCGCCAGGCAGGCCTTCAGCCTCATCGACATGAGCAAACACTCAGGTGAGTCCCAGGCCCAGATGGAACCCAACGGTCAGCGCACACTGCTGCTAAAGCTGCAGTTCTTCCTCAGGGGAGCACCCGCGGACCGGCGCGCTGGACGTCTGTCCCTTTATCCCCGTCCAAAATGTCAGCATGGACGACTGTGTCTACTGTGCCAATGAGTTTGGACGGAGACTGGCAGAGATGCTGCATGTTCCTGGTGAGAGAGACTTACTCACCTACTTACTTACTTATTCATTTGTTTGTTTACCTGTAAGTAAATAAGAAGCAACAAAAGAAGTCTTTAAGGAAATAAAAAAATAATAATAATTTTACTGAAAAATGCAAGAAAATTAGCTAAAATATCAGTGGAAAGTACATAATAAACTAGAGAAATTGCATTTCCTGCAAAAGCGCAGTGTGGATGCTTATTGCTGGAGATCTTAATGAAAAACAGCTGAAATGAGCTAAAAACATGCTGAAATGTAGCTGAAATGGCTTAAAAAGCCTATCTTAACAGAATAAAGCAGATCATATTCGCTGAAATGGGTTTAAATAAGCAGAATATAGCTCAAATATGAGGAAATTAGCTAAAATGGATGAAATTAGCAAAAAATAGCTGAAAATGCACAAAGAATGTGGAATTAGCTGAAAAAACTAAAGTTAGCATAAACAGCTAAATAGTAGCTAAAATAGATGAAACTAGCCAAAATAAGCTGAAAGGAGCATTAAAAGCTGAAATTAGCAGAAATAAGTTAATTAGACTGAAAGTAGCAGAAATTACCACGAAAAACTTGAATTTATCTAAAAACAGCTGAAATTAGCTAAAAAAAAAAGCTAAATAAGTAGCTGAAAAATTATAACAAGCTTATATTAGCAGAAAAAAAAACAGAAAAAAATGTTTGCCCAATTAGGCGGAAAGTGAAAAAAAAACCCTGCTGAAAGGTAGCTAAAAATCAGAAAGAAGCTTAAATTACCAGTAGAAAGTGGAGAGATCACAATTTTGCTGAATTAGGCAGAAAAAAGGTTGAAATGAGTGCAAGAATTGTGGAATTAGCTGAATAAGCTAAAATTAGCATAAAACAGCTAAGTAGTAGCTGAAATTACTTAAACTAGCATAAATAAGCTGAAAGAAGCAGAACAAGCTGAAATGAGCAGAAATAAGTTAATTATGATGAAAGTAGCAGAAATGAGCCCAAAAACTTGAATGTATCAGAAAACAGCTGAAATTAGCGAAAATATGCTTAGAAGCTATCTGAAAAGGTAGAAAAAAATATTTAATTAGCAGAGGAAAGCAGAAATAACAGTGTTTGTCCAATTAGGCTGAAAAAACCCAAAATGAGCACAAAAAATGTAAATTATCTGAAAAAAGCTGAAATGAGCAACAACAAAAAATATAGCTGAGAAGTAGCTAAAAAAGCAGAAAGAAGCTTGAATTACCAGAAGGAAGTGGAGAGAGCACTTTTTTTTCTGAATCAGTTTGAAAAAAGTTTAAATGAGTGGGGGAAAAAAAAGTGGAATTAGCTGAAAAAGCTAAATTGTGTTCTGTTTGCATAAAACAGCTAAATAGTAGCTGAAATAACTGAAACCAGCAGAAAACAATTGAAAAGAGCATAATAAGCTGAAATTAGCAGCAAGAAGTTAGAAGAGGCACAAAAATGTTGTAGTTAGCAGAACGAATATAAAAGGAACACATAACAGAAAAACAGCTGAAAGTAGCTGAAAAAAGTTTAAATTTGCACAAGGAAGCTGAAAGAAGCTGAAGCAGAACAAAATGTGAAAGGAGCAGTAAAAGCTTGTAAACAGATCTAAAGATTTGAAGGATGTAAAATGAGCTTAATTTATTTTCTATGAGGAAAAAAATGTCAGAAAAGACTAAATGTTTCAAAAAGCTAAAGTTGCACCAAGACCAAAAAGTCATAGCAGGATTGTCCTGAATGAGCTGAACGTTTTGATTTATGATTTATTGAAATGGCTTGAAAACTGTGGGACGAGAATTGCGCCGAAAAACGTACAGAAGAGAAATGGATCACAATAGTGTGAATTCTTCATAAACATTCACACAACAAGCAGAAACAGAGTGTGTGCAGACGTATTAACAGGTGATAAAAACAACGGATACAAGAAAATGAAAGAGAATCAGAAAAAGGGTTTTCCTGGTTCTGTAAGTCGGTGGACCTTAACATTCTGTACATCCTCACAGTGTATCTTTACGGAGAAGCAGCTCGAACAGAAATGAGGAGGAACCTTCCGTCGGTGCGAGCAGGAGAGTACGAAGCTTTACCCGACAAGGTGAGTCCGGTTCTACTGCGAAGAGTCAGAACATCACGGTTTTATTTCGGCTTCTCAAACATCATATGTTGGTGTAATTTTTTTTAAACCCCCCCCCCCCCCCCAGCTGAAACGAGCAGAGTGGGCCCCTGACTTTGGCCCCGCCCACTTCGTTCCATCGTGGGGAGCCACAGTAACCGGCGCTCGAAAGTTCCTCATCGCCTACAACGTGAACCTGATCAGCACCAAAGAACAGGCTCATCGCATCGCCCTGGACATCCGCGAACAGGGCCGAGGGAAGGACCAGGTGCATGCTGGGAGTCTGAGTCATTCCCCCAGCTGATAACCGTCTTTGAGATTTTCATTCATTCTGTGTTTTTCTCACATGCTTTTAAAATAATTTCTTTGTTTCAGATGAACTTTAGCTCACCATTCCTAGAGTTCAGTAAAAAACGTTCAGTTTGAGGCCGTCAGACCAGTTTTCTCAGGATAAATGTGTCATTTCTTGTCCATCCGAGCAGCCTGGGCTCCTTAAGAAGGTGCAGGGGATGGGGTGGTACCTGGAAGAGTCCAATCTCGCTCAGGTGTCCACCAACATCCTGGACTTTGAGCTGACCCCCCTCCACACCGTGTACGAGGAGATCTGCAGAGACGCTGAGGTCAGTGTAAGATTTCTGCTGTGACGTTTCTTCACAGACTCACTTAGGAAGCATTCACACTATTGTGATCCACTTTTCTTCCGTACATTTTTCAGCATCTTTAATGTTCCGCAGTTTTAAAGCTATTTCAACAATTCATACATCAAAACGTTCAGCTCGTTCAGGAGAAGGGTGCTTTGACTTTTGGTATTGGTGCAACTTGAGCTTTTTGAAATATTTAGCCTTTTCTGACATTTTTTTCCTCATAGAAAACAAATTGAGCTCATTTTACGTCCTTCACATCTTTAGATCTGTTTACAAGCTTTTACTGCTCCTTTCATATTTTGTTCTGCTTCAGCTTCTTTCAGCTTCCTTGTGCAAATATAATCTTTTTTTTTTTTTCCAGCTTTCGGCTAATTTCAGCTGTTTTTTTCCAGCTGTTTTGAGCTCCTTTTAGATTCTTTCTGCTAACTACAACATTTTTGTGCTTCTTCGAACGTCTTTCTGATAATTTTAGCTTGTTATGCTCCTTTCAGCTAATTTCAGCAAGTTTAAACTTCTCTACTATTTCTTCTACTATGTAGCTGTTTTTATGCTAATTTTAGCCTTTTTCAAATAATTTCCACTTTTTTGTATTCATTCGTGCTTCTTTCAGCCTAATTGGGCAAACGTGTTCTTTCTGCTTTCCTATGTTAATTTAAGCTTGTTTTACATTTTCAGCTAGCTTTTTATCTAATTTCAGCTGTTTTCAGATAAGTTCAAAAATTTTCATGGTATATTCTGCTACTTTCAGCATAATTAACTTCATCCTGCTAATTTCAGCTTGTTATGCTCCTTTCAGCTTATTTCTGCTAGTTTCAGCTCTTTCTGCTATTTAAGTTACTATTTAGCTATTTTCTGCTAAATTTAGCTTTTTCAGCTAATTCCACATTTTTTTAGCTTATTTCAGCTCCTTCCACTTCCTTCTGGAAATTTAAGCTTCTTTCTGCCTTTTCAGCTACTTTTCACCAATTAGTTGCAAATTTCAGCTTTTTGAGCTAATTTCCTAAATTTCGTGCTCATTTCTGATCATTTAAACCTAATTCAGCAAATCTGTGTTCTTTCTGCTGTCCTCTGCTAACTTGGACTTGTTCTTCCATTTCAGCTACATTTTAGCACTTTTTTAGCTAATTTCAGCTGTTTTTCAGCAAGTTCTTATGCAATAAGCATTCACACTGCATTTTTGCAGGAAATGCAATTTCTCTAATTGTTTGTTGATGTTGTTGTTGTTGTTTTGTTCAGGAGCTGAAGCTCCCAGTAGTTGGCTCCCAGATCGTTGGTCTGATCCCCCTGAAGGCTCTGCTGGATGCTGCAGACTTCTACATCAACAGAGACCAACTCTTCATTGTGGAAGAGGAGCACAAAGTTCGACTGGTGAGTCTGTTTGAATTCAGCTTGTATTTCTGGTTCTGAACCTTTGTTTATTTGTTTGTTTGTTTGTTTTTTGATAGGTGATCAGTAAACTCGGCCTCGACTCTCTCGGTCCCTTCAACCCAAAGGAGAGAATCATTGAGTGAGGTTCATACAATGTGAAGTTTCCGCCTGAAAGTCCACATCAGAACTAAACCACACAATTCTTACCTGTTCAGGTACATGGTGAGGTCACAGGAAGGGGAGGGGCTTATCTCTCTGTCTCTGCGGCAGTTTGTCCACAGTGTTGGTGCTCGCACAGCAGCGCCTGGAGGAGGATCTGTTTCTGCTGCCATCGCAGCTCTGGTGAGGTTTCTTTTAATCCATTAGAGTGAGACATCCTCACATGTCAACATCTTTCCTGTCCACTCGGTGTTTATCCTGCAGGGGGCAGCGCTCGGCGCCATGGTGGGACAGATGACATACGGCAAGAGGCAGTTTGACAACCTGGACAGCGTAATAAGAAGACTGATTCCTCCGTTTCACCAGGCCATGGACGAGCTGCTGCTCATGGTGGACAAAGACACATCAGCATTCAACAGCTACATGGTGAGGACAAATATCTGAGACAACCACGACCTGTGAAGAAATGGAAGTCCTGCAGAGACAACTGAGACAGACAATTGAGACCTACAGCAACATTGGCAAAGACAATCAAGACATGGAGAGACGACCAAGTCATGGAAGTACAACTGAGACCTGCAGTAACACTCATAGAGACACCCAAGACATAATAGACAACTTCAGGGACAACTTAGACCTTCAGAGACAACTGAGACAGATAACTGGGACATGGAAACACAACTCGGACCTACAGCAACATTAGCAGAGACATTCAAGACATGGAGAGACGACCAAGTCATGGAAGTACAACTGAGATGTGGGGAGACAACTGCAACTTACAGTAACACTCATAGAGACAACCAATACATAAGAGACAACTTCAGGGACAACTTAGACCTTCAGAGACAATGACAAAGACAACCAAGATCTGCAGACACTTCTGTAAAGACAATTGACATACCTGTAGAGACACCTGATACTTGCAGAGACAAATATAGGACAACAGAGATATGCAAAGATGCAAAGAGAACGAGACCTGTAGGGACAACAAAGACCTGAAGAGTGACACTTGAGACCTGCAGAGGTAATTGAGACCTGAAGAGACACCCGCAGAGACAACAGAGATACCTAGAGATAGACAACAGAGACTCCTGCTGTGCAAACCCCTTGCCAAGTGTTGTCTTTGTCTGTCCCTCCTGTGGATCCGGTTCTGTTTTCTTGTCCGGTCTGAGTCGATGATGTTTCTGTTTTTGTTGCAGACGGCGCTGAAGCTGCCGAAGAACTCCGCTGAGGAAATTAAAAGGTGAAGAAGTTCAGCTTTCATACCAGCAGGGGGCATCACAACCTGCAGCGCTACATCTTTTTTCAAACAACATGGTGACGTTATGCGCTGACGTTGTTGTCCCCGTCACGTAGCGAAGAGAGACCTTAGAAATACCGTCTGTCCATTCTGTGAGCTTGATAACTTAAAAAAAAGGGAGGCACCTAACTTTTGTTTGTGCGTGGATACATCTTGATGTAAGAAAGGCCTCTAATGAAAACTGGGTTGCCACATCATCACATGCATAAGTAAAATAGTCAGCCCTAGCCTTTGAGATACCTTTGTATGGTTTATTTTCCTTAAAAATAAAGTTTGCTCAAATGATTGAGGTGGCCAAAAATTAATGGCCTTGACCACCATTGGCCACCCTCTGGCTCCGCCCTGCACCTGGTGGTGGATAACATTGCTCCCTCTGCTCATCTAGATCAGTCACTTTGCACCGCCATGGTCAAGACCACCTCTCTTTTCATCCACAGTGTAACTCCTACACACTTGAACATCTGGCAACAAAAGCATTATGGTTTATTTCTATAGCTCATCTCAATAAAACAGCAAACATTCGGTATTCAAATTCGTTAGAGTTAATTAAAAGACCTGAAAAAGTTGTTGTTTGCACAATAAGCAGATCTAATTCATATTTTGTCACCAACAGAAGAAACGCTGCCATGCAGGACGGTCTGAAGGAGGCTGTCCTCGTCCCCTTGGCTTTGGCTGAAAGGATCAGTGTCCTCTGGCCGTCTCTCAGAGAAATGGTTCTGTACGGAAACATCAGCTGCAAGTCTGACGCTCAGGTTTGACAAAAGCAACACAGTCTTAGATTATTTGGCTGTTTTGAAATCTGTGTACAAAATTACTGTGAACGAAACCAGTCGGACTCCAGGTTTCCTCCAGTTTATCTCTAAATGATGAATTCTGGCTCATAGTTCAGTCAAAGCTGTCGTCAAAAAGTGTAAAATTAATAATAAAGATGTTTTTGGGTGACCGCTGAGTCAGCATATTAGTTTCCTGTTTATGCTGTCTTCAGTTTGTTTTTCGGAATCGAACTACTTCTGCAGACTTTGTGCTTTTTAACAGCTCATTTATCAAAACAATCGTCTGGAGCTGCATTAGTGTGAGATGACTTTGTGCTTTTCTAACTTTTCTTTTTATCGTTTCTGCTTCATTAACAAACTTTTGCCATAGAAATACATTAAGATCTCTTCAGTTCCTTACAAAACATTATAAAAAATCTGCTTCAGCAAACTGTTTTAGTTTTCTTATGCCATCTTTGCTTTGAAGATGCTGATGGAGAAGTGCAGAGAGGGTCGGAAAGAACTCCATTGTGTCTTTGTGGATTTAGAAAAAGCATATGACAGGGTGCCGAGGTAGGAGGTGTGGTATTGCATGAGGACATCTGGAGTGGCAGAGAAGTATGTTAGACTGGTACAGGACATGTATGAGGACAGCAGGACAGTGGTGAGATGTGCTGTAGGAGTGACGGACGTGGTGGACGTGGGAGTGCATCAAGGATCGGCTCTGAGCCCCTTCTTGTTTGCTCTGGTGATGGACCGACTAACAGATGAGGTCAGGCAGGAATCCCCATGGACTATGATGTTTGCAGATGACATTGTGATCTGTGGTGAGAACAGGGAACAGGTGGAAGAGAACTTGGAGAGGTGGAGGTATGCACTTGAAAGAAGAGGAATGAAAGGCAGCCATAGTAAGACAGAGTACATGTGTGTGAATGAGAGGGAGGCTGGTGGAACAGAGAGGCTACAAGGAGCAGAGGTCACAAAGGTGCTTCAACTACTTGGGATCCACTGTCCAGGAAAATGGGGAGTGTGGTAAAGAGGTGAAGAAGAGAAAAGTTTCAGGAGTGATTTGTAACAAAGGTGTCAGCAAAGGTCAAAGGAAAAGTTTACAAGACAGTGGTGAGACCAGTTATGTTGTTTGGTCTGGAGACAGAGACATGGACAAAAAGACAGGAGAAAGAACTGGAAGTGGCAGAAACGAAGATGTTGAGGTTCTCCTTAGGAGTGACAAGGCTGGACAAGATTAGGAATGAGATCATCAGAGGTACAGCACAGGTTGAACAACTGGGAGATAAAGTAAGAGAGGCCAGACTGAGATGGTTTGGACATGTCCAGAGGAGGGACAGTGGGTATATTGGTAGAAAGATGTTAGAAATGCAGCTGCCAGGAAAAAGACAAAGAAGAGATATATGGATGCAGTTAGAGAAGACATGGAGGTAGTTGGGAGTGATGGCATCCTCCCCGAACATGGAACAGCTGAAACAAAAAGGAGACGTTACATTTAGTCTTTAGATATTATTCAGCTAAATTTCGCTATTGGCTATATTTTCCACTCATTTTAGCTTATTGTCACATTTTTTGTATTTTAATATTTAGCTTTGTTAATCCTAGTGTTTTGCAGCTACATTGTTAATTTGACCATTTTCCAAGAAAGTTTCATTTTAGCTACTGTTTTGTTCATTTGAGCTACATTCGGCTCGTTTTACTCACAGTTTCAGCCTCTTCATCAAATTCAAGCAGCCATTCTCTGCTCAGTGTTCACTTTGCATTTCAGCAGAAAATAAACTGTTTTGTAGGTAAAGACAACGTTTAGTTGTGTCTGCTGGTTTTCAGGTAGCAGCTAAAGCTCTGGAGGCTGCAGTGTTTGGAGCGTACTTCAACGTGACGATCAACCTGAAGGACATCACCGATGAAGCCTTTAATCTGACTGTATGTGTGTCTGCAGGACGTTAATCCTCACTCTGGTTTTTAATTTGTCCTAAAATCGTTTTTTTTTTTTTTCTTCCTCAGACAAAAAAACGAGTTTCTGAGCTGCTCAAGGAGGCGAAAGAAAACGTGGCCTCCATCTTGGATGCTGCTGAGAAGAGAAGCTAAAGAAAATGAAGCTAATTCAAATCTAAATAAAAAAAAAAAAAAAGTTTAGATTTAACTTTAATAGGTCAACAACATGCACCACTCGGTGTCTTATTAAGGCATTGGTAGTTTATTAAATATATAAATGAATAAGAGAGCAATATTAATAATAAACAAATGGTAGCTAAAATAATTACGTATATCTCAACCTAATTTCCCCACCCTGCTAACCTTCAGGTTATGTACCAATCATCATAAATTGGATCTTTTTTTCATACATCTAATTCTTTCTTATACTGTGAATATAATAAAAAGGTCAAATATGAAAATAAATGATGTCTTTTGCTTTCAATCTGTTGATTTTTTTCTAGTTTGCCTGTATTACTAGCAGTTTTTATTCTTCAAAATGCTTTTAGAGACAACAGAGTCTGAATGTTACTCAGTCTGAGTTGAGGATGACTCTCAGCTACTACCAGTGGATTTTAGCTCAAAATGTGTCGGACTGGTCGAGTTGGAAACATTCTTGTTTCCCAAAGTTAGGTAGCGTGGCGAGCACGTTCAAGTTTCATTAAATCCGTCCTGTGGTTTAGGAGATATTTTGCTGACAAACAGATGAGGCATCAGCAGTTTTAAACACAGATGTCAAAGTGCATGTGAAAATGACTCAACTACACACCAAACTTTAGCTCATTAACAGGTTTAGCCATTTTTCCTATTTGCTAAGCTTACTTTACTGCGGTGGCTATTTTGAATCAAAGACATTATCGTTCAGCCTTTTTCCTTCTGTGGCAAAACACTTGTTTTATATTAAACAAAGTTATATTTTGTATTGAGTAAAGTTCATATAAGAAGTAGTATTTCTAAATGTGTTAAAATCATTGTGTTAAATATGTTAAAACTATCATAGGTGAATAAAAAAGCTGTGCTTGTGAAGACTAAAAAGTTTGACACAAGAAGTTTAAAAATGTACTAATGTGTAGTTTAAGATACTTTTTGTTATAAAATAAACTTTGCCACAAAGGCTCATGTTTGAAAAAGGAAGTGGTGCAGTGAATAACAGCTTTGCTGGTCTGTCTTTGGTCAATCCAAAAAGTGGGCGGAGCCATAAAAATGGGGGAAAATGAGTTTCAGCTTGGCAGTCTAAAACATGGTGAAGTTTGTTAACTACCCTGATTATTTCAAACTGGAGTTTTCAGTACAGTAGTCTTGAGTTTGTTTTATAGCTCACTAAGGCATTAGACGGTTAAAGGAGCTGAGAACATCCGTGTACCATCTTCTTCTTCAAATGGGACTGAAAGACAGGTGAAGCTTCAGAGGATCTAGACGTTGGAGTAAGGTACCACTCCTCCACGCTTCATCACATCAGGCATGTAATTTTTTCTCTAATTTTTTTTTACAAATTTAAGCATTTAGGCAGGCATAACTCATATCCTTTACAAACATCATGTCCATGTCCATCCAGTCTTTTGATCTTTTATCTGCAAGATTTTTTACAAGACTCGCTATTTCATCTTTATCATTGTCACTGAGAAAAATGCTGTTGGTACAACCCATGACTGTATGACTCGCATCATTATTTACATTTTGTATTTTAACTGCAAGGCTTGGGCCAATCCCTATGATGGACTTGCGACCCGTCCAGGGTGTACCCCGCCCCTCACACAGTGATTGCCGGACATGGTCACCGGCGACCCCCGTGACCCAAAAAGGAAGAAGCTGGTAAAAGATAATGGATGGATTGACTTGGGCCGACATTCACATAGTATTCATTGAATTCATTTACTATTTAATTTTGATCATATATTTTCTTGTCATTTTTTTACAAAATACTGTGAAATACCTGATCGTACTTTTATATTATAATATTTTCAGTAAGAAATAAGCATAAATAAGACTGATTAGAACAGGGTATATCTTTTACATTGTAGTGTACATTTATTCTGAGGTAGAGTTGCATTCGAGCCTAAAACATCTGACCCGGCCCGAGCCCGTAGGGTTTTTTTCCCGAGCCCGACCTAGACCCGACCAATTAATTGTAATTACAGGCCCGAACCCCCGTGCAAAACAAAAAACTACATATTTTTTAATTAAGATTTTACTGCTTTTGTAAGCAAATGGGTTTGACATGATGGTTTTAAAAACGTAAAAAAAGGAAGATATAAGCATCCTTGTTTATTAACAAGTCACCAAATGGATATTAACATACAAAACAAATAGCCTAAAAAAATCAACTCTAAAGATAGGATATTATACAAAATATTTTTATAGCAAAATTATTTGGAAAAATATAGAACAAGGCTATTTTAATTGAACACGCTGTTCGCTTTGGCTTTTGTAGCTTCAGATACTTCCTTCACCGCAGATGACAGCAGGGTGCGGAGACGCGCGCGGCCGGTGATCCATCTGAAGCTTAACTGGACTTTTAAAAAAAAAATCTCTTTCAACCAACCCCATTGTCCATCTGAAGCTTAAGACTTTTTTTTTTTTACCTCTTTCAACCGCTGGTCAGATCTGCCTCCTCCTCTACAAGTAGATTAACACAATTTTATTCTGCATTGTTATTTAGTTTTCTTTGTGCTGTATGATTCGTAAAACTGAATCAAAATCCAACCCAGCCCGCCCATCAAGCACATTATGTTTGCCCAACATGGCCTGAATTTCGGGTTGGTTCGGTCCGTGCTCGGGTTAGAAATCGCAGCTCTATTCTGAAATCGGTGAAACTCAAGATAAGTCAAAAATATGAAAAATGTAGAATTATTTATTGCATGTTGAGTTTAAGGGTTTTAATGAACTCGTGGGCCCTTACCTACATCAGAGGGGTATAGGTGGGCTACATCTATTTTAAATAAACATATTAAACATAATTAAAAGAGACCTTCTGAGGAACCAAAAATTTATTTTCATGAATGTTGGTAACAGTGGTGGTCACAGTTCCGCTAATCCGCTAACGGATGAAAGCGGGACAAGTTTTTTATTTAGGGGATTAGAGTTTTCACTACCTTTGGGAAACCGTTAGCGGAATTAGCTTCCGCTAAACTATGCCTTTCAACTTAAAGTCTGTCAAAAAAAGTCACAATTTGTCCCCGTCTGTTGTGGGCTTGTCTCAAAGAGTCCGTTGGGCACGATACTAGCTAACTATGTGTACATGTGACAAGACAGGATTGGTTGACGTGGCTTAGACTGGAAGGAGACGAACAAATGTGATGCAGACTGAGTGACAGTTATCTTAGTGGTTTAGCATTATCTTCCAATATTGAAAAAAAAAATGTTTTTTTTACCTTTTTAGCAGTCTAGCATTAGCAAAGCTCATTTTGGGGTTAGCTGGGGTTCACTGATTGGTGATAATAGAGAGCAGATTTCTGCTGCAGCAAAGACCCAAACAAGAGTTCAAACAAACTTCAAAAATTGTCCCTGTGTTCTTCTTTTGCATGTTCAATTTAATTTTATTTATCAGTGTAATCTACAACAATGTAATTTACAATGAGACAATATTTACTGTACTTAAATTATTATTAATTGGTTTTCATTCACCACAATTCAACAACGGTTCAGCTTCTCCAACTTTTGCTTTATATATAACATTATCAGAAGTATAACTTTGTTGTGTCAGACAATGACAATCGAGTTCTTCTTCACTTTTCCTAATTCTCGATTGTTTCCCAGATGTCTGCTGAGCAGATCTCTTCACACTGAAACAGAGAAAGTTCAGAGGCGCGTAGCAAAAACAAAAATACTAGGAATAAAGGTACGGACAGCAGACAGAGATTGGTTATTTTACTGACAGCAGCCAAATAAATCATACAGAGGACTGCTGACTCACTGTTCAACAACAACTGGTAAGTTAATCACAATCAATGGACAGATCGGATGGCATCTGCAGCCAGTTTCTTAGAATCCACTGTGGGATGGACCTTTACAAGAGATCCTTCCTGTCTACAGCCATCAGCATCTATAACATCTCTTAATGAACTGAGGATAACGAGTTACAACAACAAATAATTTCCCTTTGGGATTAATAAAGTATTTTTGAATTTAATTGAATTAATGCAACTAACTACCAGCAGGCGGTTCACTTTCAGTTTGACGGTAACTGGTTAGTTAATGCAACTAACTAGCAGCAG